GCCACGATCGGTATGGATGTTAGGGGATCAGCGACCCTTGCTATGGATATTAGCGGATTAGCGACTCGCTATGACGACGGCCGTAACCCTAATTCGCGCATTTGACGACGGCGAAACTCTTCTACTCTCGTCATCTAGTTTATCGATTGCCTGCACTAATGCTCTGATGACGGTGGTGCGCTAGGCTTCTGGTTGCTACGCTATGACCTGCTTGCAATACAAGTGTCGTGGTGCTACGAGAGTCAAGTGGGTCATGGTTCACAAACTGCCTAGTTGTGACTCAAGTTCCCAACTCCCAGTTGGGAAGTCGCAATTGACGACGGGGGAGAGACAACCCGCGCAAGTCCGCCAACACTGAAGTGTGGTTCGCTTGGACTCCCAACACAAACAGGGTAACCATGTGGAGGCAAGTGATAAACCTTTGCCTCCACCCCCCCCAAAGTGCACCCTTGCAAACAAACTTGGAGACTAGATTGGACCGAAGAATTCGCCGGGTTCGTATTCCTCCTACTCTGTTTTTGTTCCATTTCTTCGCTTGAATTGTGATCCGCCGTGACAGTAAGTGACAAACGATTTTGGCACACACTAAACACGCCCTAAACCCAGATGTGCTTGTTGGGATTGTTGCCGAACGGCTACGATTACGATTTGACTGGAAAATCCGTCACACCATTTTGAAACAGAGGTTGAAGTCGGTTTAGAATGGCGAGCCAGTGTTTTCTAATAGCCTACGTTTCAAAATTACATAAATACTTCCTCAGGTTCAAACTTTGCTCTCAGGACATCGTGCTCTAAATAGAAAATAATAACTAGAAAATAAAGCCAACAATTCAAATACAACTTGAGCTACCGTAGCTGGTGGGAACAATACAGATGCAACCCCATGGAATATCCATGTTGCATCTGTATTGTTCCTACCACCATGGGCTCACAAAAAACCCAGTATTCTCCCCGAATCGCCCTACCCCAAACCACCCTATACTTCTCTGAAAAGTCCAGAGGTAGCATGGCGGCGGGGTACCGTATGAAGCAATGGAGAGAGCCCCATTTCAAAACCCGCAGTTTCATTCCAAATTTCCTAAAGCCGCTGAGGTTGTTGCTGAAGGCGGTCGCAAATCCTCGCTTTTCCAGTATTCACGCTGAAAGCACCCATTGTTCCGCGTGAAGCAATGATGCGAGGGAGCGAGTTGCTGTCGTTTATTGAAGAGCAGAACCGCGCTCGCCTTCCAAGCAGCGACAGCTTCTGACGCGTTCGCGCTGAGTACTGCGACAGTTCAGATGGAATGCGACAGTTCAGATGGAATGCGACACGCTGGCGAATGCGACACTCGGTGTTACTGACACGCTTCGTCGTGACATTGCATCCTCAGTGCCTGGAGCACCACAGACGTGGGGATAATAACACGACGCGGGGAAGCGACAGATGAAACTGGGTCCCATTCGACGCCGAGAAGCCTGGCTTTGCGCGGGATTTTCAGAGGGTGTCGCACTGCCATGACCGCTGTTTGTCAGAATATTATGCTCTAGCCTGTAGTGGGGTGCTCTATAGCGAGTACAACCCTTCTAGGGTTTGCTATTTGTATCCCCATTCTTTCTAGTGCAACTCTCTCTCCTTCTTTCACCTAAACTATCGTTTGCCTAGCTAGGGCTTTCCTAGCTTAGGCTCCTAAGACTACCTCCTGTTCTCACATGGTATCAGAGCTACATGCTCCTGGCCTGTGGGCCCCACTTCACTGCTTCCGCTGCTACTGCTACTCCCTGTCCGCCGCGCGCCCCGTGGTGCGCGGCGTTGACTTAGGGTTTTCAGCCCGCCGTGCGCCCCGAGGCGCGCGGCGGTTCTCTGCCCGCCGTGCGCCCCGAGGCGCGCGGCGGGTTTCTGCCCCGTCACTCGGCGCGTCGCCCCCGGGAGGCGCTGCGACGGGCGACGGGGACCCGCGCGTCGCCCCCCGTCGCCCGTCGTGGCCTGCGCGCGGCCCGTACAGCCGGCGCGCGGCCCGTACGGGCTGCGCCAGGCCCGCGCGCGGCCCGTACGGGAAGCGCCAGGCCCGCGCGCGGCTCGGGCCGCCTGCGCGCGGTTCGGGCGGCTATGCCAGGCCCGTGGGCGGCCCGTTCCTCGCTGCCCCTGCCCTCCCCACTGTCCCCCGTGCTTCTACTGGCGCCCCACCCCTCCTACAGCCCGTTCTCCTGAATTAGGGTTTGGGGGTGAGGGGTATGGGGGTGAAGCCACTGAGTGCCGTTCCCTGTTCCTCCTCCTCCTCCGTCTCCCTGTGCTGCAGCTGCCGCTGAGGGGGGGTGGACTTGTTGGAGCCGTTGGAGTGGTACTAAGGGGGGGTGAAGGGGGAGTGGAGCTAGCGGTGTAGCAGCGGGTGTGTGTCAGGGGGAGTGGGATAGTTTGGGGAGGTTGAAGGGGGTGGCCGCCGTGAAGCCAGCAGCTCCAGTCGCCCGTGAGACCGTTGCGCCAGTCGCCCGTGAGCCCGTTGCGCCAGTCGCCCGTGAGCCCGTTGCTCCAGTCGCCCGTGAGTCCGTTGCTCGTCTGCCGCTACTTTTAGCCGCGGAGCCAGTTACTCCAGTAGCCCGTGTGCCAGTTGCTCCAGTTGCCAGTGTGCCAGTTGCTCCAGTTGCCCGTGTGCCAGTTGCTCCAGTTGCGCCGTGTGCCAGCAGCTTCAGCTGCCGCCCACTACCTCCTCTCCTCTCATAGTCTCTTTCCTCCTCCTCACTTGCCCGTTGTGACTACCACTAGCTTTGCTCATAATTGTGAACTTTAAACTATTGCTTCTTGAACTTGTGCTCAGAATGTGTGGTGACATTGTGATCCACCCTGGGCTTGTACTGCTTTGCTTGCTCTGCTGATTACACCCCACTTTGGCTATGGGGGTGTGTCAGAATATTATGCTCTAGCCTGTAGTGGGGTGCTCTATAGCGAGTACAACCCTTCTAGGGTTTGCTATTTGTATCTCCATTCTTTCTAGTGCAACTCTCTCTCCTTCTTTCACCTAAACTATCGTTTGCCTAGCTAGGGCTTTCCTAGCTTAGGCTCCTAAGACTACCTCCTGTTCTCACACTGTTGTCGATTCCTCTACATTGGACCCCACAACGAGCGGCGTAGAGACATTAACCTTCACGGTGCCGTTGAAATCCGCAACGGTGACGTTCAACAGCTCAGTGAGTTTGCTGGCGGTATCTATGCTAGTCGTTGCGGCCGCTGCCCGTCCCCGCTCTAGCTTTTCCTCGAAAGTTGCTGCGTTGAACGATGCAATTTCGGGCGTCAGAGGAGATTCGCGATTGGGAAATTCGAGTTTGGGAAATTCGCGATTGGAATTTTCGGAGGTGACTTGAAGGCCCGCTGTGACGATATCTGTCTTGAGTTCCGCGACTGATGGTGTGAGTTCCGTTAGGAGGCGGTTTGTGGGAAAGCCGTCGCCGCTATGTAGGATCCTCGCATTGGAGAGCGGTGCGAGGGTGAATAGTAAAGCGAGGGCAAGAGTGATTGCGCCGCGTGCCATACCGATATATGAAAAAAATCGACTACCTGACATCGCGAAAATGGAAAGTCCGAAAAGCAAATCGAAATAGACTTTTACTCAACATTCCCGATATTTTTTTCCCGGCACTTTTGAGTCAAGGTTTTAGATCTGCATGGCGACAGTCACTTACAAAGCAACTTTGCGTCCACTTTCCCGCGACATTCTGTACATATGCGTGCATCAAATTAGCCACTGCACCCGCATCTGCGCAGTTACTAAACAGAAACGGGCTGCGCCACACAAAAGTTTACCTAACCATACCGTGCCAACCAACTAGAAAGCGACGAGTACGCAACCCCAACTGCCACTCCGTACGCGCACACCCACGTGGCACCCTGTTTCAACCCGCACGGCCACGTCAGCGTACATGCACCAAAACGTACCCGCACCCCAACCGTTGTATGAAGACTCGTGTCACGCAATCTCAACGGTTCACGTGTCGCCTGCACATAAATTCGCACACCATGTTATGACTTCGCGAACACTAACTGCACTATCCAGTACACAGTTGACAGTTGGAGGCAACCCACAGGGGCGCTAACCGCAAGTCACGCAGCTGATACCCACTAGCATGCTACCACGTGGCCTCACTCCACTTGCGCATTCCTCGTCCGCACCCTGCACTACATTGCATAATCACCGTACACCTGTCGCGTCGCCCCCGTATCGTACACTTCGCCAGCTTTATCGCCAACCAGTAGTAACGCACGCGCGACTACCTCTCGACGCCATCTGCATCCTCCATCTGTGTACATCGTATCCACCACCGTGCTGACACGTCACGCATAATTAATCGATCTACCCCGTACACTTGCCGGTTGATCGTGTACTCGCACATACAGTAACCCTAAACCATCTCATCGTGGCTCGCGTTCGCGACGTCTTCGCTAATCAATCACCACCTAACATCAGTCGCACTCTAACCGCATATCACAGTGAGTCCCCCCCGTCAACCTCAACTTCGCCTTCGCTCCGTGCGGTGACACGCGTACGTGAGCGAGTGCAACCATTGTATGCAATTGGTGGGTCCTCATTTCTTATCCATTGCATCCAATCAGATGTCCACGCTTGCGCACCGCGGATGCTTTTACGGCCACGCATTACCGTGTCACCTGCCACGTTCCGTGAAAAGCGCCGCAAATTGCGGCGCGGTCTACGCCAAACAAAACAACTGGTTGACTGTCCTCCCGATGTGTTTCGCAACCGATGGGTATCCTTGTTCTCCTGTCAAATGCGTCTATACCCCAATGAATACTTCTCCCATTAACATCATACACACACACAAGCATACAACGTAGCCATGCATATATATAATCCCACTAGCTTCAGAGCCCACACATGCAACATCCAGTGCCCACGAAAAAGCCTGCTCAAACCCCTGACACGGAACCGAAAATGATGCCTTCCACGACACCAGCCACCTGTCCCACCAACGGTGCGCGCCTCAATGTTGAACGCCCCCACACGCCCGTCGGCCTACTCATCACCAACTGACGCCGAGAGGTCGTCGTCCCCCGCACGCTTTTCGGACTGAGCTGCGGCGGTGGGCTTCATGTGCTCCAGGCCGCACGCAGAGATGCGCAGTCCATGGCGCCCCCAGATCCACGCCTCTCGCTCCGCGTCATACTCCGGGTTGCGGATCCTGATCGCCCTCTCCACGGCCTCCTTCACCAGGACCTTGAGGCCGTCCACGACGTGTGCGTTGCCGCCGGCCGAGTTGGAAAGCCGGCCTTTCCTCTCCTCCCAGTAGAGGACGCAGTCGGAGACCTGCGCATCCACCACCCAGCGTGTCACCCAAATGGTCCGACAGTACAACGCGAAACACGGCTCACATAGAGCGCACAGACTCACCACATGCTCCAACCAGGCCAGGTGGTACACCTTCAGTGTCATCACCAGCCCGGCCTTCTTGGGCCTGAATGCAGCCTTCGCACATGTCGCGAATGCCCGGGAGGCAAACGACATGCCATCGCGGTCGTTCGCCCAGCTCGTGAGCACCAGGGTTTCTGCACACCACATGCGCACTGTCTGTGTCAGCGGCCGCCAACCACGAGGTGGTCAGCATAACCATACGTAGGTAACCCTCTCTGCTGTGGTAAAATGCACTCACCAGGGGGGTCAGCGCCAAGACCAATGCGCTCCCTGATCTTATCGATACTGCGTGCCTTCTCGGGCGCCCATAGGCTGCATGCGTCCCTGTCGTCGCGGAACAATCCGAGCTTGGGAAGTGCAATGTCTCGCACGCGTGCGGCAGCCCTTGTCTTCCACTCAGAGAGCGTCTTGTTGAGATCCGTGCGACGCGACTTGTCAGCCGCCAACGCCAAACAGGCGAAGCTATGCGGCAGGCGGTCCAGCACCGCACACACTCCGTGAGTCTTATCGTCGCTGCTCGGGTAGAAGGTCATCGTCGACGTCGGCCTGTTGAGAAACATGTGAACCCTGGCCAGCTCGCAAACCCTCTGCGCACATACGGTGTACACAAAACATAACATAAGTGCAAACCGGTAACCATCAACTGACCCACATGGCAGCCCAACACGACGAACGGAAATAGGGCCTCAACGGTAACATGCCCGCTCACCTTCCACGCCTTGTCCGTCGGCAAATGCTCCAACGCGCGTTGTAGAATAGGAGACTTGGCGGTACGCATATGACGGCCACCAGAACCATGCGTGTCGTCATCGTCATCCTCGCCGTCGCCGTCGGACCCGCCACTCCACGTCTCACCACGCTGACGCTTCGGGTTCATACAACCCTGCCCCGGGTTTCTCTGCTTCTGAGCCTTACGCTTACGAGAGCCACCGGAAGGCCGAGACATCGCATTCAAGAACAGCGCCTCCAACCGCGCGTTCTCCTTGGCGCTCTTGTCCTGCGCCTGTATGAGTTGCTCGAGGATCCGGCTAGGGATGCGCACGTCATCGCCGTTGGCGTCCAAGGTGTTCACGCGTGTGCGGCCAACAAGTCCGTCCGCCTGTCCTCGGCCGTCGCCTCGAGCCACATCCGTGTCCAGCGCATCTTGATGTGTGCGCATGTCAGCATTGGCCGCGGATATTCCCGCACATCCATCGTCGTTCGTCTTCCCTCCAGCACCCAGGTCGGCGGATTCCTCGTGTGATCCTGACGCAGATGTGTCTTCGCTTTCCTCGTCCTCTTCCTCACTGCGCTCCGACGAATCTGCACTCTCTGCACCCGTGCCGTCATCTGTGTGTGATAGAAACACCATGGAAGCACAACACCACAAGTTAGCATCTTGCGTTACTCCATTATTCGACGGCGTTACAACATCGCGTGCAACAAACTTCGGGACTCATCCACACAAGCTCGTTCTGCATACCTTGCTCTGAATGTGTCACCTCCTTTCCCTTATTGGACAAGCTCAGGCGCTTGGGAACGGTCGCCCCACGCTTCCCGTTCGACAGCCGACCTCGCGGCATCGTCAACTGGTATGACGAACGCAGGTATGCCGGCGGTTGCGAGACACGACGTGAGCGGCCTCCGGCCCTCGTATCCTCGGAAGCCATCGAGGTCTCCATAATAGCAATCGAAGTATCTAGTGAGATGCTTTGATAGTGACGCGCTACCCATTTTTCTACGTAGAGTTGGGAGCTCAACTTCCAAACACACCTCGACACCGTTTACTCCAGGAGTTTGGTAGCCAGGAATACCTCGTGCACATCTGGACGTCCGCAACCCAAAACGTCCAATGAGTGAACAGCACGTCATCCTATCAGTGACGGGTGTCCACAGCAGAACCATACACTGCGCACATCGTGGTGACACAACCGTATCCATGCACCTCGTTTGTGCGAACACTAGTATAGACATACGGTTTCCGGTATTCATAGATTCCATAAACCTTTTCCGACATTCAGCACACCAACTGCACGATAACGCATCCATCTAACAAAACAACCCGGACACACCGTGTAATCACAATCCTTAGCATTGATCGCACATGCATACAACCACATAAGCACCCTATGAAGATCAGCTAGTGCAACGCAGATATAAGGAAATACATGCACCGACAAGTACCTCATATGCTTTGACTCCACAACCACTATGCCGCCGTGGCTCCCGTCTTCTCGTGTGCACCACTGTCTCCCTGTCGCTCTTCCTGGTCATTTTCCTTCGCACCTCCGCCGTGCCCGTTGCTCAAGGGGGCCGTCCCCCCACTCTCAGCATTCTCGGGGGCCGCCAGTTCGTTGGTAGCCGTGTCGTTGTTATCCACCACCCTGCGCCTCTTTGATGTACCTGTGTCACCCCCACACTTCCTCCCTCGTTTCTGCCTGATGCTCACGCTCTCCAGCGCCTCACGCCAGCTCCGCCACCTCCACCACTTCCTCGCTTCCACCAGTATCTGCAAATCTTCTTTGGTGCATCCACGCAGCATCGCCTTCTCAGCTGCTGACAGGGTGACTGTGTTGGATATCCTGTCGCGTGGCCTCAGCACAAACGCACCTGCGGCGTACGCGAATGCCGCCTCTTCCTCCGACGTGTACGCTCCCAGTCACTGCTGCTTACGCTTTCCACGTTCTTTGATCAAGATCTTGACGCCGAACTTGCCAGTCCGTTTGTCCAGCTTCACACCCGTGTACGTGGTTGCACACGTATCCTCGTCCTCGCCATCGTCGTCTGAGTCTGACACGAGATCCTCCTCCTCTTCGCCCTTCACCGTCTCCTGTCCGAGCGTGTCTCCCCACGCGTCATCTCCAGCTGGCACACCCGTCCCGAGCAGCTGCCTCCCGCGCGTGAACATCCAGTGAGGTATGGCACCGTGGGAGAGCAGCGGGTTCGGCAGCAGGCTCGATGTCGGCTCACATGCAGCGAACGTGGAGGCCAGTGCTACCCGGGTGCCGTTGCGTACGCCATCCTCCTCAGGACTGCTGTCATCCCGCCTCTTACGGGCAGACGGACGCTGTGGTGTGCGTGGCGCAGTCTTGTTGCCACCCGCCTCTGCATTCGTGCCGGTACCCGCGAGACCGCCTTGCAGCAACTGTTAGGTTGCAGCGGACACGACCTCGTCCCGCCTCAGTCCCACAAAGTTGGCGATCACGGTGAAGCTGGCGTTCAGGTACCTCACATCGTTCGTCAATGAGGCTACACGCCTCATCACCTCCGTAACCCGTGCGTCCTCCACAGGGCGAGTGACCGGTGCCGGCCTCCCATCTCCCACAGCAGCGTTCTTCACCTGCACCACTGTACCCTCATCGGTAACCCGGCCTTCGTCCTGCGGGGGGATCTCAATTCCCAGGTCCTGCAGCTGTTTCAAAAGAGCGCCGGTCGCGTGTGCACACAGGTCGCGCCGCATCTCCCGCATGTATTGGTGCGGTGTCACACCCTGGAACCAGAGGCCCGAAAGAACCGTGGCGAAGTCGGTATTCACCAGGGTCTTGAGGTACTGGCAAACAAAAATCCCACAGTCCTCCTTGTTAGGCTGCTGTGGCAGCTTATCCTCCTGCCAATATGGGAACGCACACCACGTTTATTAGTCTGCATACATGCATGTGCAAACCGCACATTGGTGTCCACAAACAACGTCGCGTACTGACCCGTAAAATTATGCAGTACGCCTCCTTCAGCGTCTTGTCCACAAACTCCGTGTTCGCGCTTGGGGTGCTCGCCTTTGCGAGCTCAGACAGCACACTGAACGCAACAGGTCAACTGGTATTAATATACAGATCAAGCAAGGCTACTGTATACGAACTTATTCACACCCAGACTCACAGCTTTGTTCCTGCAAAAATCTTGACAGTGTTCCGATTCTTGATTGCGCTGTCCATCAAGACCAACGTCAAGCGCTCTTTTCCCTTCGATTTCGGCGACTTGGTGAGCACCGATGGATTTATAGCGATGACGAGCGAATAGTGCTCACTGCGCGCAATATGAGGGGTGTTAAATGTGTTCGTGGATAGACAGTACACCATGGCACACCACAGAAACCCATCAAAAAACACGTTCTGCACGATACTCACGATTCTAGCACCGGGATCGCCAGATAATCGTGTTCCACAAGCGGCCGCCCATTCCCAAGAGTCAACGGCGCTCCACACGCATTCGTATTTGTGTAAGCCCTGCAGTCCATGGCGGCCCATGTCTTCCCGTTGCGGAGCGTTGGTTTCCTGATGCTAAGCAGCCTGCGAAGAGGTGAACAAGTACATGTTACCACGTCTTGCTACAGGCATCATTAACAAAAGCCCGCGTAAAGGGTGCGGCCGTCATAACGGTACTTACACGTTGTGGAAGTCGATAACCCCATCTGTAATCCACTGATCGTCCTCGATGGACATGAAGTCGTCCTTATCCACCTCGCATCCGACACCTCGGTGATTCATGAGCATCAGGTTGGTGTAAGATGCCTTCTTATAATTCCGGGCGATAGCGGCCACCATGTCGTCCGGCACGGGCTCCTTCGCCTTTTCCACAACATGAGACGCGAACCTAGAAGCCCTTCCGGAGTCCTTCGTCGGCGGGCTGGGAGCAGTAGTATTGTCGCCCTTGTTCGACGCCCTAGATCTGGTGACGGGCGGGTCGGGATCTTCGTCATCGCCGCTGCTGCTAGTCTCTGGTTCATAGAACCGGTTGCGCTTAGAGACCAACTGTTTAGGATTCGCCATCTAGAACGAGCACTCACTACCATTCGGAGGACGCCGAGTGATTAATAGGCGAGCACGGAGGGGATGACTGGGTGAGCACAGCTACTCACGGATCTCGCGACAGTGGCCCTATTCGGAATGAAGGGGAGAGCAGGGCGTCACCCATGCCTTTCGTGCCAAGCTGGTGCGAACGTCATGCATATGCTCAATGATCCACACCGTTGGCGGAGAATCGCATACGATGCACCAGGTGTGATTGGAAAACTCGCCTGGATGTGATGGTTAGGTCACATGCAGATCCACGTGTGATGAGCCTAGGGTTTCGGAATACGTGGTCCGAGGTTTGGGTGGGTCACCAAACCTGGTGCATGGTGGTTTGGCCAGTTGTGGCCCGATTTTCTTGTACAATCGGAATGACGCGGAATCCGATAACGACGTACGCGGTAGGGGGCACATGGGTCGTTGTGTTCTTAGGGCGCGCCAAGCCTCGATTATAATCCGTCGTTGTGCTATGGGTTGAGATAATCGAGTACTGGTAGACGCGGTTATTCAATGTCTTGCTATAGTTCTATGTTGGGTAAAAAATAGGTGGGTGTATACGTGCATTGCGCGACATTGCATAGGAACATTGCAGAACAAATTTGGGTTGGTGGAGTTTGTATGTACACATATTCAGTCCTTGGTTCTCGACACATCGGGACATGCGTTTTTTTTTTTTTTTTTTTGAAAAAAAAAGAAAAAATAATTAAAGGACGTAGATGTAGTGCTTTTATTAAATAGCAAATCCTTATGGTGAGGTATATATTGATTACGTGTAACACATGACCCGTTGGTTCCTGCACACGATTCACGTCTTCCTGCACATGTGTGTGCGATAAGTTGTTCCAGTGAGTTGTATTAGTGCGCACATGAGGTACTGAACAGGGTTTCGATTGCTGGGCCCCCTAGGGTTTCACGGCTGTAGGATGACGGGCAACAGTTGCCTAGTGTGCGAGACGGTGTTTAAAGACGACAGCAGGTTACAGTCTCACGTCGCTAATGGTGCAGTTTGTCGCGCCGAGTTGAAGAGGAAACGAGAGAGTCTTTTGCTAGCTGGATATTTGGAAGCCCTTGCATGTGACGGAGAGAGCAGACCTAACACACCGCCGGCCTCCCGGCGTAAGGAGAATGATGATGGCAGTTTTGTATCTGTTGCTCCAACGGCTTCGCTCCCCGAAGTCAGTCTTGTTGGCGACGAGGATACACCCGCTGACGGCGAACCTGCAGAGTCGAATGAAGACAGCGTGAGGGCGGAGATTTTCGATACACTGACGGAGTTGTACCTTTTCTTCCAGGACGCCGATCTTTCGCACAGGGAGGTTAACCGTCTGCTACACATTTTCCGCAATCCGCGCTTCAACCTACGGGCCCTCAGACGATGGCGCAACTGGGTGGACGTGCGCCGCTGGGGCATGGCGCGAGCTCCCGCCGACATGGTCCCTTGGAAAACGGAGGAAATAGTGGTGCGGGGCCCCAAAGGAATGCAAATGAAGCTGCTACTGCACTTCCGCGACACAGAGCTGGTTCGTAATAAGAGCCCAACCCAGCTCACGACGTCGTAATGAAGTGTCGCCCGTGACCACCGTTCATTACCTACCATAACTCACACCTGAGTCCACCTCGATGTCCGCAGATTTTGAAGAAGCTGGTGCGGACGTTCTCATCGAAGAAGGGGTGCGTTTGGAAACCAAGGAAGATTCATCGGAAGAAAAACAACGAGAGGGTTTTTGAAGGACCGGAGACGGGTGATTGGATGCACGCTGCCCAGGTACGCGCAGCTTTAGCCTCTCCCCATTTCTTGTGGATTACAAAACGCACGATGCAGTCGAATACCCACAGCTCACCGACACGTGTGGTGCACATGGCAGAAGGAGATTAATGACGAGGATGCACTCATTCTAGGCGTGCTGATATACAGTGATAGCACCCAGGCATCACGGAATGGCAGGAGGAACGCGTGGCCGGTGCTGATCTCACTTATCAACATTCCGACGGAATTGCGTGGAGTGGAGCCTGGGCACACATTGGCGGCGGTGCTTCCGTTCCCACCTGAGTGGGCATCGCCTACGGAGAAGACGCGCGTCTTCCAGGAGGCACTAAAGATCATCCTCGCGCCCATCATGCGAGAGTCTGCAAGGTACACTGGGGGGAGAGGGGTGGTGTTGAATATGCTACACGTGGTCGCCCGTGGTGGGCACCCCATCAAGTAGTGAGTGGAGTGAGGACACCGAGTTGTGTATATGTGACATCACTAACTGCACACCATCTCGTGTGCATTTGTACACTGCGCAGCGCGCCAGTTCGCTTCTTCTACTGCACAGACGCGGACGGGAAGGTGCACAAGGCGGTCCCTTGCCTGTACGGATACCCTGCCGACTTCCCTGAGTCCAGCAGAGCATCTGCGACGCTTCAGCAAGGGTCGCATCGACCATGCGCTAACTGCTATGCAGACAAGGGGGAGTTGACCATGATGGTGGGGAAGGTAGATCCACGTACACCCGAGAAGCAGAGGGACATTGTCCGACAGATCCTGGCGTGTAAGACGCAAAGCCACGCTGACGATGTGCGGAAGTTGTGGTCAACCCATCCGATCGAGGTTTGTTTCGAGTTGGATAGGATCCTGGTGTTGTATCACAGTGGGCACGTTTTGACACCGTCGTGTCCTCCGTTGCACCGTGCAGTGCGTGCTTCACAGGTGGAATTTCGCAGACACAGAGTGGGGCAACGTGTATCTGGCATGCCTTGCAGACACACTACATGTTCTGGACTCTGGTGTGCTGATCCACATGATGGACACCTACATAGAGCCGCTCGGGAAGGTTGAGATGCGGCTGCTTGAACGGTGAGCCGGGTGTTGCTGGGTGGTCGAACTGGGCATGCTCTACCATGCCGGGGTCAGTTGGGTTGTAGGACACCATGTGTGCCGCTACATGAGCTCCTCGAGTCCGTGTTGTGCGCAGACGCAAGAAGGAGTTCAAGGCCATCACGCCTAGCGTTCTCCTCCGAATCCCAGGGGGCTCATCGTTCTTCAGTTCAGGCGCAAATTACGCCGCGTTCGAGCACAGGAGCATGATGCAGATAATGCCAATGTTGGTGGCTGACGAGAGTGCATTGAAGGGTGGAGAGGAGGGAGAGCTGCGTGCTTTGCAGGTCAAAGCGTTCCGGCTGTTTGCTGTGTTTTACAAGGCGTTTCTGGGGGTTGACAGGCACACACATACAACAATTGCGATTGCCCGTCAGCATGCGATAGCGTGAGTACATACATGAGTTCTTTGAGTGGTTGGTCGGGGTGCTGGGAGCGTGTGCGGTTTGATTGTGCGGCGACTGTGGGGTGATACACGATGGTTCATCGAGTGTTGTATGCTTTTGTGGACGGTGTGGCAGGTTGGTGGAGTTGCTACCGCGGGCATTTCCAAAGCAGGCATCCCACTGGAGACTCCCAAAGATACACATGATAAGGCATTTACTGGACAACGTTGTGCACCGTGGGATGCCGCACCATTATTCCACGGAAATGTGGGAGCGCACGCACAAGGGCACGGTTAAGGGTCCAGTAAGAGGGAGCAACTGGAGCGACATTCCACGCCGCATTGTGGAGGAGGAGGTGCAGCGAGAGGTGTACCGTGAAGTTGCTGTAGACGCGGGGGGTGGGCGACAGTACGCGACCGCATTGAGCGAGGTGCGTACGGGTGTTCTTGGTACTGTGATGGCCAGTGGGAGTATACAGTGGAGCGGTTTACCAGGGAAGAGCCGTGCCTCAAGCGGTATGCGGTTTGTTGTGGGCATGTGGGCGTCACGTGCAGGCAATCAAGACTACGAAACCGGTGCTTACAAAGAAGTATCGGATCATGCGCATAGGCGGGGAGTCGGATCCAGTGCACGATGAGTACACCGCCGCGCTTGGAGACGACATGAAGGGGATGGCCGATGAGTTCAAGGCGTTGGGGCTGTCTACCAACAACGTGCAGGTGAGGTGATGCTGTTGTAGCGTTACATGATGCATCCGGGGTTGTCACGTTGGTTGTCACTGCACTCATGATGCTATGTGATGATGGATTGGGTTCCATGGTGTGACAGGTCCACACGGCGGTGGCCATTCCGCGCACAAGGGGCGGAGAGCTAGTGGCAAAAGGGACATTTGTGAAGGCGTCTCCCCGAGAGAGGTGGTATTCGGACGTGGCACTGCTGAACAACAAGAAGGGAGACTGGTTTGCAAGATGTCTGTGCATCTTCAGGGCGGTTGACCGTGATGGGGAGTGGAAGGGGTACGCATACGTGCGGTACTATGAGGGGGCGGGAATATGCAAGCTTACGGGGTGCAAGCAGCTGCACAAGCAAGTGGAGAAGGTGAGGTACTCGGTGGTGGAGTTGAGGAGCCTGCAGAGAGTGGTGCACGTGTGCCCTTCGTATAGCAACAAGAAGGTGCAATTAGTGAACAGGTTTTTGCTATGTGAGTGACGATGCATGTTGGTGGGGTGGAACGGCAGTGCTGATCCACATGGTTGGCAAACAACACGATATACGATTTAGCTGCGTGGAATGCAGGATTGATGGGTACTGGAATGCAGTAGGTAGACGAAAGTGTGCTTGGAATTGATGGTGACATGGGTATGTTGTGTTGCAGTTGGTGGAAGGCCATAGACACGGATGATATAATATGCACACATGTCCATGTCAGTACGACTTCCATTTGTGCATGGGTAGGCCGCACAGATGACGTATGCTCAATGTTAATGCAGGTGTATAAACAGAATGTTAATTGTGCTTGCAGTTTGAATGTCAGGTACATAACGGGTATGAGTACATGTCAGAATGTTATTGTCTAGCCTGCAGTGGGGTGCTCAATAGTGAGTACAACCCCTTAGGGTTTCCTATATGTATCCTGCTGCTTGCTAGTTCAATCCATCATTCCCATTCTCACTTCTCCAATTCTCCTTCGTATACCACAAACCCTAGTCCTAGGGCACAACCTACCTACTCTATGTGTGGGCCTAGGCTACTAAGCCTAGGCCCCACTCCTAGTATTCTGACATGGTATCAGAGCGAGCACGTTCCTGCCGCTTACCTCAATGGGCCCACCACCTCACTGCTTCCGCTGCTACTGCTACTCTGTGTGTTGCACGCCCCGTGGCGTGCGACGGATTTTTCATCCCGCCGCGCGCTCGGAGCGTGCGGCGGTTTTCTGCCCGCCGTGCGCCCCGAGGCGCGCGGCGGTTTTCTGCCCGCCGTGCGCCCCGAGGCGCGCGGCGGCTTTCTGCCCCGTCGCCCCCGCGTCGCCCCGTTCCCGTCGCCCGCGGCCCCCCGTTCCCGTCGCCCGCGGCCCCCCCGTTCCCGTCGCCCGCGGCCCCCCGTTCCCGTCGCCCGCGGCCCCCCGTTCCCGTCGCCCGCGGCCCCCCGTTCCCGTCGCCCGCGGCCCCCCGTTCCCGTCGCCCGCGGCCCCCGTTTCGTAGCCCCGCGCCCCCCCTTTCGTCGCCCCGCGCGGACGCCAGCGCCACGGCCAGCCGCGAGCGCCAGCGCGGCCCGTACGGACTGCGCCAGGCCAGGGCGCGCCTCGAGCCGCTCGCCACTGCAGCAGCCGCCCCTGGAGCAGCCGCCACTGCAGCAGCCGCCCCTGGAGTCGCCCGCCACAGCAGCAGCCGCCCCTGGAGCCGCTCGCCACTGCAGCAGCCGCCCCTGGAGTCGCCCGCCACAGCAGCAGCCGCCCCTGGAGCCGCCCGCCACTGCAGCAGCCGCCCCTGGAGTCGCCCGCCACAGCAGCAGCCGCCCCTGGAGCCGCTCGCCACTGCAGCAGCCGCCCCTGGAGTCGCCCGCCACAGCAGCAGCCGCCCCTGGAGCCGCCCGCCACTGCAGCAGCCGCCCCTGGAGCCGCCCGCCACTGCAGCGGCCGCCCCTGGAGTCGCCCGCCACTGCAGCAGCCGCCCCTGGTGCAGCCGCCCCTGCAGCAGCCGCCCCTGGCCCCTGGAGCAGTCGCCACTGCTGCAGCTGCCCCCAGAACCTCAGTCGCCGCCCCTGGAGCAACCGCACCAGCAGCAGCCGACCATGCAGCTGCCCGCGACGCCGCTCCTGGACCCTGTGCAGTCACGCTCAGTCTCACCCGCGCCCTTGTGCGCCCTACCCTACCTGCTCCGCGCTGTTGCTCTGCACGCGCGGTTGCCCGCGCCCTCGTGCGCTCTACCCTACCTGCTCCGCGCTGTTGCTCTGCACGCGCGGTTGCCCGCGCCCTCGTGCGCTCTACCCTACCTGCTCCGCGCTGTTGCTCTGCACGCGCGGTTGCCCGCGCCCTCGTGCGCTCTACCCTACCGTGCGCTCTACCCTACCTGCTCCGCGCTGTTGCTCTGCACGCGCGGTTGCCCGCGCCCTCGTGCGCTCTACCCTACCTGCTCCGCGCTGTTGCTCTGCACGCGCGGTTGCCCGCGCCCTCGTGCGCTCTACCCTACCTGCTCCGCGCTGTTGCTCTGCACGCGCGGTTGCCCGCGCCCTCGTGCGCTCTACCCTACCGTGCGCTCTACCCTACCTGCTCCGCGCTGTTGCTCTGCACGCGCGGTTGCCCGCGCCCTCGTGCGCTCTACCCTACCTGCTCCGCGCTGTTGCTCTGCACGCGCGGTTGCCCGCGCCCTCGTGCGCTCTACCCTACCTGCTCCGCGCTGTTGCTCTGCACGCGCGGTTGCCCGCGCCCTCGTGCGCTCTACCCTACCTGCTCCGCGCTGTTGCTCTGCACGCGCGGTTGCCTGCGCCCTCGTGCGCTCTCCCGCCCCGGCCCCCCCCCCCCCCCCCCTCTGGGTCCCCTGGACAGGAGGGTGTGGGGGTGGCGGGTGTGGGGGTGCTCCGTGTGCGTCGCCCCTTCCTTCTCCTCCGTCTCCCACTGCTGCAGCTGCCGCTGCGGGGGTGGATGTGTGGGAGACGAGGGAGTGGCGCTAGGGGGGTGATGTGGGAGTGGAGCTAGAGGTGACACTGGGGGTGTGTGTAGGGGGGTGTGGGACAGCTGGAGGAGGTTGCAGCACCTGTTGCCCGTGTGTCTGCAGCTTCAGTCGTCGTCTCCAATCTTCTCTCCCTTCACAGTTCCTCCTCCTCCTCACTTGCCCTCTGTGATAGCCTCTAGCTTTGCTCATATTTGTGAACTATTGCACTGCCTGCTCATTGTGCTGATTGCACCCCACTTTGGCTATGGGGGTGTGTCAGAATGTTATTGTCTAGCCTGCAGTGGGGTGCTCAATAGTGAGTACAACCCCTTAGGGTTTCCTATATGTATCCTGCTGCTTGCTAGTTCAATCCATCATTCCCATTCTCACTTCTCCAATTCTCCTTCGTATACCACAAACCCTAGTCCTAGGGCACAACCTACCTACTCTATGTGTGGGCCTAGGCTACTAAGCCTAGGCCCCACTCCTAGTATTCTGACAGTACAGTGGTCGTTTGTGCGGTCGAGGTTGACGCGCTTCAATGTGTGGTGGTGTGGACGACCGAGCACAGGCCGTTGGCTGATCGGATATGGGTGACGCGTACGTGGCGTCGGGGACGCGAGATGGCCTATCTTCACGTTACGGGTGGGCGTTTCATATGTGTGCGTTATCGTCGAGCGGCGCAGGGGTAGTGTTCTGTTTGTTGTGTGGCGCATGTCAACCGATGTACGCAGTGTGCGTACAGGGGCAAAATGGGGGTAAGTTCCGGTAGAGTGAAACATATCTAGTACGGGGTCTTCCGGCCTTCAAAGCATAATTGCCAACCTGGTTGTCAGAGTGCTACAATGGGTGACCTGAAGGGACTGCTGGCTACCGCGCACCCGGACGACGTGATCTGCTTCCACGAGATTAATTTTCTACCGAGCCGGCTTCCGAAGACATACATTCCGGATAAGCGCGTTGGGGCGGAGCGGATTGTCAGCGTCGGCATTCTTTACAACGCGACGGGGAGTTGTTCCGCGGTGCCTCTGGTTGTTCTATCGCCGTACGATAGGCCCGAGCGCAGGCGGGGGAGCGCGGCATGTCGCAAGGTGGCCGTCCGGTATACGCATCGCGGGCGGTTGACGCCAGAGGTACGGGACAATGTGTACTCCGTGTGCACCGTGCGTGTTTGACATGTGCATCGTGTGTGCGTACCGTACATATGATGGTGTTGTGCCGTTCTGTCTGATGTTGTGCACACAGGTGTTCACGGAGTTCGTGGAGACTGTAAATGGTGTGCACTTCAGCCGTGATCGCAACACCCTCATCCTAACCATTCACGAGGCGCATCGCATCACAGGCGAGGTCGCGCGACCCGTCGCGGAGCACGGCTTCAGTGTACAGCACCTCACCAACACCCGAATCGTCAACATTCGTAGGTCGGTTCTTGAAGGGGGCCTTCCGCACCTGCAGGGAGTGGAGGATGCGCTGAAGGGCCATTACCGCGTTATGCTCATGAAGCGTGCGATAGCGGCGAAGCGGTTCCAGTTCGACTATTCGGCATCCATCGCTGACGTGGATTATGGCCTCATGCTCGAGTGGCTGGGAGAAGCGTGGACTCGCGTGCGCGCAGCAACCATGCAGAGGAGCTGGTGGCGCGCCGGATGCGTGCCCCCGAGCTGGCCGCCACTGATGGCGTACCTAAGTGAGACGAGCGCAACGGGCATGTTTGAGCCCCTCATTGCGATATGCGTCGAGCTGCAGTTGCTCATCGAGAAGTTCAAGATGAGGCCTGCGTGCTATATGACGGCGGCCGAGTTCGTCAACTGCGACGCGGGACTCTGCGTGGAGCAGGGGTTCAGGGCCACACCTGCGGCCAGCGCGTCGGATGACTCGTCGGGCGAGATGAGTCTGCCAGACGGCCCACTGCTGCGTGACGAGCGCAGCAGGCGGCGCGTGATTCGCAACGTAACAAATGCGTACGTGGAGCGTGCCGACGCGCTCGGCATTCCCCCGGCCCTCGTGCCAGCAGAGGTCGGAGCATCTAACCAGGAGGTGATTTCCCGCCTCGGCAGGACGCCAATCAAGCGTGCGCGCGCGGGGATGCGCACTGAGGACGTGCCAGACCCAACGGTGCGCGAGACTGAGGACGATGAGTGATGCTGTTGCTTGCAGTGGGGCAAAGTATTGGGAGTTGTGTTAACCCTAACCCGTACGACTGGTTGACGGGTGTGGGGTTGTCTTGTTGATGTAATAGTGGTTGTTATGGGAGAACATTTGGAATGGAGTTGTCAACCCATGTTTGGCATTTGTGTGTAAGGGTCAACTTTGTTTGCGATAAGAGGTTATACAGTGACAGAATGGACGAACCGCACTTACCATACCGCGGACATCTGTGCGAGAAATTTGGGAGGGGGAGAGCGAATCGGGGTGTTGGTGTGCGCTTCGGGTTTCCGAAAGCTTTGCGGTATTGTTACTCCGTAGTCAATATTTTCCATATGATGTACGCGCGCGTTTTTGGTGGGCAGAATGTTGCGATTTGAGTGCGTTGTTTTCCCGCAGCTTTCCGCAACATTCTCGCAAGGCCGACGCAGAAAAACCTTCGGAGGCAAAAAAACGCAGTTTTCCTTTTTCGCGATGGAAGCGTCAAACACGATCCTGTTTTGAGCTCGACTGATGTAAGATAGAAAGAAAGGTTCTGTTACTACCAGTATTACTAGCTCGCTACTGGAGAGGTCGAATTTCTGCACAAACTGGATTTCCTGCAGAGTGAAATGCAGAATCTAAGTTTGAGCTCAATGGAATAACTGGCTCTTGCTCTCGTACTGGAAATTATTCTCTGCTAGTTGCCAAGCATTTCCATCTCACCTCACCTCCCTCTCCCAGCCAGATGAATCTCGTGCGTCGTACGCTGATTGTACAGCGGGTGTGGGAGAGGGGAGGGTGGTGTGGTGTTGCTTGAACCGCGTTGACGACGGCAGGTGTGTCGAGTCGCACATCGGTGGAAAGCAGACGAGGACAAAGAAAGTTCACCGAAAGAGAGGAGACAGGATTCGGAGGAAAATGTTGGAAACTTCGACAGAAGCTTGTTCGTTTCCAGCGACAATCAGCATATTTCCTTAGCAAAGGCCCAAAATACGGTGTGGTCAGTTGTAAACACAACTTACATTTGCTTTTATTACCACAGCTTTTCAAACAGCATTAAGCTTCCAGCACAGACAAACCAAGCTCGATCAGTTGTTGGTCGAGCAAAAACCAGGACAACTGCCTAGACAGCCTCAATCTTTTCCTCCTCCGCACTCTTTTTGCTGAGAGGCAGCAGATAGACCACGGAGTACGGGATTGCCACGGCAACGCCTGCCAGAATCGGCGCAAGCCAGTAGATCCAGTGATTGGTCCACACACCCTGCCACACGGACGTACCGAACGCCTGTGCGGGGTTAATAGTTCCGCCGGATAGCGGCACACCCACGGCAGTGGTCGTGAGGATGGAAAGGCCAATCATGAGGGGTGCGAGGGCAATAGGACCCCTGGGATCCACGGCGGTGGAGAAAACGGTGAAGATAAGGAGCGAGGTGAAGAGAAGCACTGCAAGGAAGCCCGTGCCATTTGATGTGCCCGCGGGAAGCGACGCTGCACCGAGGATCCTCTGTTATGGGGGAAACAAAAAATGACAACGGAGAACGAAACTATCTGTGAATGCGTGAAGGAAAGCATGGACGAGCATGGGCGAGAAAAGACGGGACGGAAAGCAATGTATGCAGCGACAACAGTAAGGAGAATGCACATACGTTGAGAGCCGAAGGCAGGACGGCAGTGGCAAGGCCAACGCCAACAAGCGATCCCACAAGCTGCCCGATAATGTAGACCAGAGCAGACACCACGTCAATCAGGCCAGCAGCGAGCATGGCGACTGTGGTGGCCGGATTCAGGTGACCACCGGAAACGCCAATCGTGCCGGCTACAGCAAGAGCGTAGCCAACACCGTTACCCAACGCGATGATGACCACGGTTGTGAGAGGCTCGACCTTAGCTCCTCCGCCTGCATCAATGAAAAGAGGAACAGATTGGAAGGTAAATAGGAATGAGCGGAGAAATGCGAGGGAGGAGTGCAGCGAATCGACAGCTATTTCAAGGTGTGAAACAAACTCGCGTTATTGTTTCTCTCCTTCTCGTACGTAGACTGGGTGCATCATTGATAGGTCAGGCTTCTGTGACACTAGTTCTAGCCCACTCTGGCGAATGCCAGATATAGTTGCTCTTCCGCCGCAAAGAAACCCCAAATCCTTATTACCCCCCCTTACCACCAATAGCTATATCGGCCTCGAAAACATGCCAAGAAATTAACACTACTAATAAGATGAAGGTAAATAGCTTGCTAAGCGTCGGCAGGGAGCGAGAAATGGCAAGCGACTTACTGGTGACGGCGGAGCAGAGCACGCCTTGGAAGACGAAGTACATGGTTCCCAGGATCTCCGCTACTGCGCATTGGAGCAGCACCATTGGCGGCTTGAACTGCATCCAACCCTTGAACACCTGAGGCACCTTCGCCATTTTCCTTAAGTTGGAAGAATCGAAACTGCGGCTAAATCGAGGCAGTGAAAGCGAGCCGAGACTCGCGTGTTGAGACGAAGATTGTTTCGAAGGTGAGTTGAACACAAGCTTGATATCCACTTCATTTTGGGCTTCTATTTATGCACGAGCTTGAAGTGCTCTAGACTCACGACACGACTACCCGTCGTGTGTGAAGGATAGGCTCCCCCCCCCCCCCCCCCAGCTTACATCCCGGAAGGAACATGAATTGATACGGAACCTAGAACGCGTGCGGACCGCGTGGCGGCTAGGAGCCTCCTAGACAGGCCCTCGGACTATGTCTGATCCGAAGTCTCAATCAATTGAGGAGCGACTGTGAGACACATATTCAGTCATTCCGTCTTAGGCCCCACCTGCTCGGGTACCATCCCCCCCTAGTACACTTTATCCAGCTCGTTAACTCACACTTACTGTCCGTCAGATTTTCTACCGTGGCGGTGGTTCCAGGTCACAACGGGGTGGTGCTGATGTCAGAAGTGGAGCTCGTGTCGGTCATAGGTGGCAGCTGCAGTTCCAGGTCCAAATCGGAATGGTGGTGTAAGGAAGAAATCGAGGTTGGATGAAGAAATTCCTGATTGTCCGGGTCTCTGGTGCAGGGAGAGGAACGCACTCTACCCAGGTTTCGAGCTTGGTGTTCCCTAGAAGAAAGCTGGCACTGTGAATCTGCATTCATCCCGTTTTCCGTTTTTGTCAACAACACCTCTCCCCTCCAATGGAAAGGGGAGACTGTTGATTGACCAGCTAGCACTCGTGCGAAAGTCAGGATAAGGCGCCGTGATTTGCGTTCAACCACAAGCCTTAGAATTCACGTCAAAGAAGCTGAGGCCACAAATGCTCCAAACGTCGTGCTTTGCTGATGTGTCAAAACTTGCTACCACACAAGAGAAAGCAAAACCGCACACGAAAGATAGTTTTGGGATAAACGAGGTTGGGGGCGGTGCAGAGGTTAGGGATGTTTGACTGTCGCTAATTGTTACAAGCCCCTCTCAGACATACCCATGAATAAAAAACCCAAACCATTTCAAATCCCCTCAAAAATAAGCTTTGCTGCTGCATGAAGAGCTACAATCCTGTATGAAGAGTATACCTAGTGAAAAATTGATCAGGAGCTATTATATAAAATCATAGGTACGGTAGTGCACCATGCATGGCTGTTCTAACAAAAATTATCCTAAACGAAGCCTTACGTAGAGCATGGTAAGTTGCTAGGATTTCTCAACTTTGCGTGTTAAAAATCGGCAGTCCTCCTGTCAGTCACTCCGTCTATGGAATCAAATGAGCTATTTCAGGAAAAATGAGAAAACTTGTCTTTTTTCAATGTGTATACCGTATCCTCTCGACATTTCACTGAAGGCTAAGTGTTCTATTTATGAACTGAAGCAAACTTGAAACAGTTGAGTCAGTGTGCTATTTGTCAAACATATATGCTGCATATTGTCTAGGCTGTAGTGGGGTAGCCCATATGGGATAGCCCATATGGGGTACAACCCAATTAGGGTTCACTATTTGTACTCATGCGTGCTGTTAGTTCAATCATTCCTGCCTGTGATTTCAACATGGTTTCAGAGCAGGAGGTCCCTAGGACCTACCGATCTGTTTTTTAGGGCCCACCGTCTCACGCATGAGTTACCACGCTACCCCGCGCCCTACCCTCGATGCGCCCTCGTTGCGCCCTAGCTGCGCCCTCGTGCGCCCTCGTTAGCGCCCTCGCGCGCCCTCGTTAGCGCCCTCGCGCGCCCTCGCTGCGCCTTTACGCGCCCTCGTTAGCGCCCTCGTGCGCCCCTCGTTAGCGCCCTCGTGCGCCCCTCGTTAGCGCCCTCGTGCGCCCGCGCTGCCCACCGTCGCGCTGCCTGCCGCGTCGCCCGCCAGTCGCGCAGCCCGCTGCGCTGCCCGCTCGCCGCGCTGCACGCCGCGCTGCCCACCCGCTGCGCTGCCCGCCGCGCTGCCCGCCCGTCGCACTGCCCGCCGCGCTGCCCGCCGTCGCGCTCCCTGCCGCGCAGCCCGTCCCGAGCCCGCGCGACGCGCGCGCGGCCCGCAGCTGCCCCTTGTTAGAATCTAGCAGCAGGAATGACTGAACTAACAGGATGCAGGAGTACAAGTAGTAAACCCTAATTGGGTTGTACCCCATATGGGCTACCCCACTACAGCCTAGAAAATATGCAGCACATATAGTTTGACACACCCCCATAGGCAAAGTGGGGGAGAACAAGAGGTCACAAGACCAGTCAAGAGAAGCAAAACAAGCTCAGGGTGGATCACAACGTCACCACGCATTCCGAGCACAAGCAAAGGGCCACAGGGCCAGTTCACATGCAGAGATATATATGCAGCAATAACAGTACAGTGATGGCTACCTAGCAAGAGCCAGCATGCATATATATATATATGTACAGATCACAGTACAAGCAGAGACTACAGCAAGTGTGGAAACGTAGGCACAAGGCCTAACAGAGTACAAAAGCGCTGATGATCACCAGACGGAAGTGCCTTGGTGAATATATCAGCAGTGTTGGCCCGAGTGGCCACGTGGCGAAGACGAAGCTGGCCTCGCTGCTGCAACTCTCGAGCCAGGAAGTACCGCAGAGCAATGTGCTTCGTTCTGTGCTCCAGTCTGTGCTCCTCACACAAGGCAATGGCGGCCTTGTTGTCAACGTACAGCACTGGAGGAGAACGAGGCTGCTCTCCCAAGTCAGTCAGCAGGTAGGTGAGCCAGCGTAACTCCTGAGCAGCCATGGCGGTGGCGTAGATCTCAGCCTCACAACTGGAGCCGAGAACTGAAGACGAGCGTGTAGAACGCCACGAAACTGAACCAGAGCCAAGGCTGAAGGTGTAACCCTGTGACGACCGCTGAGTAGCCTGGTCGTCAACCCAAGAAGCGTCTGAGTGCCCAGTGAGGACAACTGGGCTCGTCCCTCCAAGCACTAGCCCCATGCCTGATGTGCTGCACAAGTAACGCAGTACCCTCTTAGCAGCAGCCATGTGCTCAGGTCGGTGCCGACCAGGAGCCACGTAGCGAGCCAGGAGACCAAGAGGGTACGCGAGGTCAGGTCGAGTGCAAGTCATCAGGTACATGAGGCAGCCGACTAGCTCTGGGTAAGGACCACTCTGCTCTACGGACTCGTCCGAAGGTGGAGCTGAGAGCGTGTGACCTGTAGCCAGAGGAGTGGCCTGTGCTGAAGACCAGGTGAAGCCGAAGCGCTGAAGGACCTGCTGCACCATGTGTGACTGAGTCAAGGTGATGGTGCGACGTGCTCTGTCTCGGGTGATCTGCAAGCCAAGGTAGCTGCGCAGCTCACCCAGGTCTATGCACGTGTGTCTCTTCTGCAGCTCCGACTTCACGTGGGCGAGAGCCTCAGTGTCAGCAGTGGCAAAAACCAAGTCGTCGACGTACACGAGGATGTAGAACGGCGGCAGGGAAGTGTCGGTGCGCAGAAACAGCGACGGGTCAGCAGTAGAAGGCGCAAACCCAAGAGCCGCAAGCGTAGTCCTCAGTGTGTCGTGCCACTCACGTGGCGCCTGGCGGAGACCGTAGACCGGCCGCCGGAGGCTCCACTGGGTACCAGGAGGGAACGACCCAGTGAAGCCCGGGGGGCGGCGCAGCCAGATCTCCTCGTGCAGGCTACCCTGCAAGAAAGCTGTGCTGAAGTCAAGAGAGTGAAGCTCGTAGTCACGGTGAGCAGCAACGTGCAGCAGCACCCGAAGAGTGGTCATCTTCGGGGTGGGGGAGAAGGTCTGGAAGAAGTCAACTCCCTCTCGCTGACTGAAGCCTCGAGCCACGTAACGTGCCTTGAAGACAGGCGGAGAACCCGGCGGCCGCTTCACCCTGAAAATCCACATGCCACTGACGATGTTCGCCCCAGGTGGGGGAACCTCGTCAACGTAGGTGCCTGTGGACTTCCAGGAAGCCATCTCTGCGTCCATGGCTGCCTGCCACTGAGAGGAGTAGGGACCCTCTATCGCCTCTGCGTAAGAGCGCGGAGTCGGGATGTCTGGTGCATCCGGGTCTCCCTCAGGGGCAAGTAGCGAGGACACAAGATGAGGTAAAGCAGCAGCAAGACACTGGAACTCCTCCTGCCTGTCCTCAAGGACGTCCATGCTAAGAGCACACTCACCCCCGACGGACGGAGGACAGACAGACTCAGACTCAGCAACAAGACTAGCGGCGTAGTCTAGACGACAGGCAGCAGCAAAGTCAACAAGCTCAGCGACCAAGGCAGACGCAGCAACCTGAGGGGACTCAGTGGTCAGTGTGTACAGACTCGAGCCAGGTGCACGGGTGAACGTGGCCAAGTGCCGGCCCGTCCTAGCACACGTACAGTGAGTCACTCGCTGACTCGCAGGAGTGAACTGGTGAACCCCCCCATCCTGGAGGTCAGCTCCACTCACCAAGTTTGTAGAGAACGAGGGGAGGTAGAGACCTGACAGCGAGCCGGACGGGACGGCCGGACACGGCAGAACCGTGGAATAGTGGGCAAGGACCGGACCCCCAGAGGGGTCCGCCAGGGAGACCGGGACTGGCCGACGGAGCGGCGTGAGTGCGGTGCAGTCGCGAAAGAAGGAGCGGGAAGCTCCTGAGTCAAGGGTGAAGGTGTGCGAGACCGCAGTGGGCGCAGTACCAGAGAGAGCAGACACAGCAGCACCTGAAGCCACGGCCTCACCAGTACCTAGAGCAGTAGACGTACTAGCACCGAGAGCAGCAGCCTCACCAGCACCTAGAGCAGGAGACGCACTAGCACCTAGGGCAGCAGCCTCACCAGGGTCAGGCGGTACGCACAGGCAACAGGCACGGTCAGCACTAGTAGACAATGCATACATGGCAGTGAGAATAGCATCATAGTCACGCGCAAAGATATCTACCCCCTGTCCATGCAGCTCTAGCCAGGTGGGGAGCTCAGCCTCGTCGCCAAACACTGTGCGCCAGTCGTCGCTCAGACGGGCGAAGCAGCGGGACTGTGTGTGAC